GCATCTGCTTAATGCAGAAATGCATATTGTGGAGAGTACACTGTGTGTTTATATATATATATGTATACCCACACAAATATATATATATATATATATTTGTGTGGGTATACATATGTATATGTATGTATGCATGTATGCATGTACGTATGTGTGTTGATGTGTATACACGTGTGTGGATGTTTATATGTGTAAGGGTGTATGTACGTGGTGTATATTTGTGAATATATGTATGTGTATGGATGGTATGTATGTGTGTGTGGGCGTATGTGTAAGTGTGTGCGTTGTCTGGGCAAGTGTATGCGTGTGTGTGTGGGTGTATGTATGTGTATATGGATGTATGTGCGCGCGGGCGTATGTATGTGAGTGGGTGTACGTATGCGTGTGAATTGTATGTGTATGGGTGTATGTGTGTGGGTGTGTGCATGTGTGTGTGTGTGTGTGTGAATGTATGTGTGTATGCAGGTGTATGTATGTGTGCATTATCTGTGTGAGAGTTTATCCGCATATTTCGATTCCCAGATTTACGAAAGTTGTAGCTGAAATTTTGTAAATTTAGTTCATACGAAGCTGCTGGGAAAAAATTTTGTATGGTCCACAACTTTGTGTAGGCAAATATACTTAGAATGAACTCTCAAGTTCTCTTAATCTTCAGACCTGTGTAAACTGAAGCAGACAGGTTTGTAAATTGAAGCAGGCAAGTATGATAGCATAGCCCCGAATGTGGACCGCTGTTAGTTCGTTACACCAACTACAGTATGAATTCTTTCTGCTCTTTAAAAAGGCTTTTTAAAAATAGCCTAATTCGAGCACTGTAAAGGGATTTAGTCCAATATGTCAGAACACTATATCCGGATAGTTGAACAACAATAGTATTTTTTGTTTTGAAATAGTATCAAAATTGTCGTTTTAGGATGAAAACGGTAAGTATGAAAATGGGCAGAAGTTGACCTCAAAAGGTTGTAAAAGTTAATCAGAAGGCTCCAGTTAATCAAAGTCAAGCCGAGAGGCGCTTTAAAGAGCGTTGTGCGAGAAAATGGGTCGGAAAATACTAAAAAAATCCTAGCTTATACAAATCGAAACGAAAATTTGAGAGGGGTCTCATTACGGCCTGGTGGCAACAAATTGATCGTAAAATATCGAAAGACGTCTCTGTTGGAGGCTGAGTACGTTACAGGTGCAGTTATCCGTCTGAACGCTTCAAACTCTATTGCTTTGAAAAGTGCATTACAATTTTAGATATGAAATACGGGAGGATTTGGAAAATCCTGTCAATGTGTCTGTTTATGGAGCGGCAAAGGAGCTTGATTTTGCAAAAATTAAAACATTATTTTCAACTAAGAAGACAGCGACGGCGAACGATTTACCAACTGTAACACCACAGAAGCAACTCGAAAGCAGCGAGGCGTTGGATAAAGCATCGAACGAAACCGTCGATACGTCAAAAAAGCAGGTATTATATATCTTTTGGTTGTTCCACATGGACTGTCGGGACTGTTTGGATTGTCGATGTGAAGCTGTCGGTGTTACCGAGGTACAGCCAAGCATTAAGCTTCATTTTCGGTCTACCTGTGTCTCGTTCTAATTCATTCTCTTATTTTCAATCAACTGATCTTGAAAGCCGTCAGAGTTCCCAGGTATACAGTCTTGCATTTCTTGAGTCTGTGCATCCACATCGTACCGCGTAAAAAAGGGGAATTTTTAATAACTGCACTAAAGTCAACCCAGGCTGGAACGCACCAGGCGGACGGGTGCGACTATGCGTTTTTGCACTTTTCGTGCCGTAGCAAGATCGCAAGGAATCAAAGTGGCTAACCCTGCGAAATACTGGCCCTCGAAGTTCGGGAATTTAATTGTGCAACTATGTGGTATTTCAGTTGTAGGTGTCGACTTCAGTGACCCGACAAATCGGAAGCTGCTGGTCCGCAAAAAAAGGCCACGTTAGAAGAGTTAAATTTAAAAGTTTTTAGTCGCACATGAGCAGGGAACAGACCCTTAAAATTAAACCCTTCAGCTTTTGCTGTTCCCGAGTTAGCAGTTTTCTCATCAAAATTTTCACGTGTCCGTACGTGAGCACGGGACGGTTTTAAGGAGCTGAATTTAAAATTCTTTGGTTATACATGAGTAGGAAAAATAACCCTAAAGTTTCAGCTTTCTAGCTTTTTTCACTCCTGAATTAGTGATTTTCGCGCCAAAATTTCCACGCACTCGTACGTGGGCCCGGACGCTTCTAAACACCTGATTTTGCTCGTACATGAGTGGGAGCATTTCCTTAAAATTTCAGCTTTCTAGTTTTTCCCGTTCTCGAGTTAGTAGTTTTTTTTTTTCGCGCCAAAATTTTCACATGCCCATAGGTGGGCTCGGGCGCTTCTAAACACCTGATTTTGCTCGTACAGGAGTGGGGAAAGTTCCCTTAAAGTTTCAGCTTTTTAGCTCTTCCCGTTCCCGGGTTGGTAGTTTTCGCGCCAAAACTTTCACGTGCCCGTGCGTGGGCTCGGGCGCTTCTAAAGACCTGATTTTGCTCGTACGAGAGTAGGAGACGTTCTCCTAAAGTTTCAGCTTTCTAGTTTTTCCCGTTCCTGGGTTAGTAATTTTCGCGCCAAAATTTCCACGCCCTCGTATGTGGGCCGCAAGCGCTTCTAAACACCTAATTTTGCTCATACATGAGTAGGAAGCATTCTCATAAAGTTTCAGCTTTCTAGCTTTTCCCTTTCCCGGGTTAGTAATTTCCGCGCCAAA